AGCGAACGAGAGAGAGAGAGAGAGAGAGAGAGAGAATCAGTGTCTCCTAGCCCTCCCCTATCTATCTTTCTTTTACTTGTTCTTTCCGGTGTTCTCGTGATCCTCCCACCCACACATCCACACGACCCACCCCCGAAAAGTGTGTGCTCTGATCGTCAGTCAGTCATCCATCCGGCGGCCGAACGAAACGCAGGGGAAGCAGTGTTCTCGATACCCCGGCCGCGCGGGATGACTCGAAAAAAATGTGCGTCGTACCGATGTGGCTGACGAGGCTGGAATCGTAAGTACAGTACCACCCCGATGCGTGATAGACGGAGATCTGATCCCCGGGGACGTAGCGTTAACACCCCGCGGCTACTACACCGTCAGGCTTTGCTCTCCACGGAATGATGTACGGTAGAAGCTGGCTAGGCCTAGAGACACGCGAGACACGACACGACACGACACGACACGGCACGACACCTGCGCTTCCATCGGCGATTGATTCGCTCCAGATACCGGAGTCGGCTCGGTCGCGTGTCGATCGTGCACCCCAATTCACGGCAGCGATCCCAGAAGGCTGCTGGATATTCTGTGCGCCACGGTTTCGAAGCCGAACCCCGTCTCTGACGGGAGTTTTAGGGTATCGGCTGGGGTTCATGGTCGGTCTTCGGCTATTTTCATAATCGATTGGACGGGGATGACGTCGGAAAGGGGTCGGAGCTTCAAGGGTAGCTTCGGGGAGACTATTTTCTAGGGTTCTACGATGTTCTGGAATAGTGCTGTTAGGGGATTCAGTGGGGGATTCTTGGGGGAAGTAGGATATTCAAGGTTTCATGATTTCGATGGAGCTTAGAGGATAGTATTCGAAAGATCTAGAATCTCTACTCTATAATATTATATAACAATGAAAGACTTCGATTTAAATTTATTCTGAGAAAAATCCATACTTCTCCAAACCCCGTTCTAAGCGTAGCTTCCATTACACCGTTCTACATCTAAAGATTCCGTGCCATTAAAATTACAAGGTTCAATCGGACCTTATCAAGGCCGCTTCGAATGCAGGAGGTTCTCTGCTCCAGATTCCATTTTCCTAGGCACGTAGAAATATTCCATCCGCCTCGACCGCGGATTCACGGACATAGCTGACACAGCGATGATCGTTGCTAAGACGATAATGAAGCTGCTCATCGAGCACTGGCTTGGTCGATACTCCCCTCTGCCTTTCGGCACCCCTAGCATCGTCTTCTCATTCTCCTCGTCCGCTCTCAAAGTTTAATCACCGACCGGGGAATCTCTCGCAGCGGTAACTAGAGCGGAATCGCTCGTCGACGAACGGTTTCCAATCGCACACCGTCGCGACGTGACAGGCGAAGAGCGTCTGCTCGACGAGATCTCCGTCGACGTGCCGGCATTACGCGTGCGCCTTCGCCGGAAGTCCGCTGGACAACTCCGCGAGATATCGGACCGATACTCCTGGCCCGAAAGTTTCTCGATCGCGTCAGAAATCCCGGCTTCCGGCCTCGAGTGCTCCCGTCCGTCCTCCGTTCCTCGAGGAACACTCGTCCGCCGACGGCCGACGAAATGGCGGTGTGTGTGTCACGGGTACAGGTGGTTCCATTGAAATTTATTCGGGACGCGTTCCAAGTATTCGCGTTTTCGAGCTCGATTCGGCGTTAACGGAGTGCGCGTCGGCTCACGGCGGCGTGCGGGCACGAGGGCACGGCGGTCCGAGTGCGCCGGATTCCGTATGGGGGAATTTTCTAAATATAAAACGGCACGCGCACCATTTTTACCCCTTTATTCGGCTACGCGACCTCGTTCCGGCGGATCCTCTCCTTGAACTCTCCGGACGCCGCGACGGGAACGACTCCTTCGCCCGGCGACGGTGTGCGTTTCCTCGCTTCGACGAGTGCCAGTCGATAATTCGTGTTATTGTTGTTAAGTGGGCTACCGTGTCGCTTAACTCCCGGCGATCGTTTAACTCGCGCGCTTCGCTTTGCGGACGGAGTGCGGCCGTACGAAACATGAACAGGTTAGCGTGATTGGAATTTGTTTATAGGGTGGACTGATTAGATCCCGCGATTGCGTTAGCGGTGTATCAACCGTTTACTCGGTATCTCTTAATCGCTCTCGCGCTGTAATGGGGCTCGAATTAATTGATGCCCGTGATAGAAGTTGTTCCGTTGCGAGCGTAATTTGTAACGACGAGTGAAGTATTTATACGATGAAGATATAGAATAGGATTGGTTTATATCACATACTATCGATGTACATTGTTTTCGCGTATTAATTAGTATGAGAAAATACACACGAGGATTGATTTTACAATATTTTTGCATATGAGATGTACTATGTTCATTACGAACAGGATATTAATTAGAGGTCGAGGATGAATATTCAATTAGATTGAATTAAAGACAATACATCGTTATGAAACGTTGGTTATCGATGTAAAGGTCAACGTTGAATTCTCTCGAATCAAATTTGTACACATTTCACGCAAACATGGCGGCTGTACTAAGGGCTGCGAAGGGCTTCGTAAAACAAACCGTTCGAGCTTCACCCACGTCTGTTCACCGACGAATTAGCGTTCGCCTATCGTTGGTAATTAACTCGTAACAAGTGTCGGTCTCGATTTCGAGTCCGCGGGGTCTCGAACCGTGCCGGTCGATAATCTCTATTCAGCCCGGTGACGCGGCACGAGCCAAATTTAATTATCTGGCTGCCGGAGATAAGAATACACCTTATCGTGTCGTGCTCCCGTGTATCGATACTGTAGAGACGTCACTTCGCGTTCAACTGTTTCCACTATCCCGACCGTTTGCTCGACGCAGAGCAAACACGGGGTTTCCGTGTGCGGTAACGGTTTCTAGAAATGACGTTAACCGTTAGCCGTATCGCGTGTATGTACCATTTACTATGAAAATTGATATTTTAATGGACAGTAAAATGTAGTTGAAAATTTTAAGAATTTTAATATATTAAGAGGCTAACAGGGAAAAGTATATAAAATTCCTATGAAAAATTTGTGTCTCACAATTTAGGCATACACTTTTAAAATGGGACAACGCAGCTAACCGATGAAGCGATATTCCAGCCGAGGAATGTACCTAGTAGCGTTCGAGGAATTGTTAATTCGCGACTCGTTAATCGCGTTCGTTTATAGCTTCTCGTTTGTGCTTGTTTTGTCACCGGTTTGAAATTCAAATAACCGCCGCGCTGAATTCAAATTTAACTTCGCGGAATCATTGATCGGTTACACAACCATTGATCGATTCAACCATTTCATCGGAATTCTTGATTTCATATTTGCTGCGTCAATACGTAAGCTATTCTACTTGAACTTCAATATTTACTTGAATGCCTATCGAGAGATCGCGTCGATTCAATAACGTCCTCCGCTGTTCCTCCACGACGTTCGTCTCCATAAAAGATAATGTCAAAAAGAGTATAAGGGTTAGTCTCAACGACAACGCTCGATATTCGGTGAACCCTGACCTTACACATCTTTGTCTTGTTTTCAACCTTACCTCGCTTCTATTTTTAATTTCTCCACTTATTATTATCTTCAAACAATTCCACCTATACCCGAAATCTCTCTAATAAGAATACAACTAATCTCGCTAATTCCACCGAATACAACTTCGACCTTCCTGCTAATAGAATTTCAAACGCAATTGACGCAGTTTCCAATGCAGACGCGATTCGATCACCTCCATCAAAAATTCCATTACCTCAATATTCCTAAATTTCCGGAAACTTCGTTACAAGCTTCATCGCGTTTCGCCAGATTTAATCGTAGATTCCCTTCGTTCTCCCGCGAATGCTGGAAATTTCCGAGGCGAACAATGACGGGAATGCGTTAAAGTAAAAGTGGCAAGAATCCTCGGTATGCTCGAACGCCGGGTATCTAAGTAGAGTGATCTCGTGCCGGATCGTTCGAGCCGTAAGATCGGCTGTCGATCGCGTTTCCGCCGAGAAAAGGGAACGGGAACGCTCCGGCGGCGATTCTCGTCCCGTTATCGATCCCGGCTTCCCGTTTGTTACGTGCAGGTGTATCGGTTTTAGTAGAGCCAAGGGTGGGCCGCGATAGCCGACGAGTTTGTTAGCGCACACGACACGACACGGCACGGCGGCCGCCCCCTGTCCAGCAATCTGGAGCACGTGCACCCCTCCAATTATCGACGGAATCCTGTGTTTCGTACACGTTGCTGGCCGACCGACACCACCGCTGGTCAATCTCGGTGCCGTAGACCCCTGTTTGATCGAATAGACAGAATAGAGAGGGCTGCCGGCCCTTTTCAACCGACGACTTCGAACGTTTTTTATGTCGCTTCTGCGAAGCGTTGGAGGACTATCGACTTTTTCGCCCGTGCACTGCATGTTCAGGCAAATTCGTGAAACTGGGTCTTTTTCGTATATTCTTTCGGTTGGTAGTTCGAGTCGGAGTGAAAAGATTTGTTAAGCTGTGGATTGGGAATATTGCCGTAAATTCGAGTAATTTAAAATTAGATTTTTGTACAGGTTAAATTGGGTATTTTGATCGATTTGGAATGAGAAGAAAATTTGTTGAGCTATGGATTGGGAATATTCCAGTAAATACGAGTCTTTTGAAATTAGCTATTTTGGACAGTTTTTATTGGGTATTTTGATCGATTTGGAATGAGAAGAAAATTTGTTGAGCTATGGATTGGGAATATTACCGGAAATTCGAGTAATTTAAAATTAGCTTTTTTTGGACAGTTTTCATTGGGTATTTTGATCGATTTGGAATGAGAAGAAAATATGTTGAGCCTTCGTTGATGGATTGTAAATATTCAAGTAAGTCTTTTAAAACTGGTTTTCTTCTTGCATAGTTTCTACTGGGTATTTTGGTCGATTTGAAATGAAAAGTAAATTTACTTCGTTGGTGGTTTGTAAATTGAATTCCAAGTCTTTAGAAACTACTTCGTACAGTTTTCATCGGATATCTGGTTGAACATTAAATGGAAAGGAAACGTGTGAAACCTTCGTTTAAAGCCTTCATTGAACAGATTTATATTAATTCGGGAGTCCGGAGTACATTTTAACGTACTCAGGAACTCATGCATACCGTACAACATTCCATGTTTTCATATTTCTTCAACAAACAATGCTTCTCGCGAAACAGCAATTAATCAACTCGAGTTACGTCACCGAGAATAACATTAAATATTCCTCGCTATTCCTCGTTAACGTGGAAACCGCATAGGTTCGATCAACGATTTCGAAATAAGAACACAGGATATCACGCATCGTCATCAGGATAATTCCTACTGTTAATTAAATTCGCCGTCCGAGACGGATTAGCGCGGCTAATAAGTTAAACATCGTATCGCGTAAGCCTTTAAGCTCCTTATCATCCGCACGAAACGTATCGAGACCTACGGTGCATCCACGGAACATCTGCATTTCTCAGTTCCGTCGCGTTCGTCGTCGTCGATTCACCTCCGGGCAGCGAGAATCGAAGAACAACGGCGAAGTAGCAACGAGAAAATAAAGGGAGCAGGGTAGAAACAGCCACGGTTACGGTACTGCGATCGATCGTGCAGTTCTGGCAACGATCCCGTAACGCGAACGCGTCCGTTGCGGAGATTCGCATCGGTCCTGCACGGGAAACTTGGACGACGACTGGTTCGTTGTGCCAGATCGGAAGGACGCTTCCTGGAGAGGTTCGCCTGGCCCTTTCCCGATTCTTATTGATCGTCCGGTCGACGCAACTTCTAGATTTCGCGAGGATCCGCTGGTCTGTCGGGGCGCGCGCGCGCTTGCTCGCTCGCTCGCTCGTCGAGAAAAAGTTCCGGACGGATTTAGCGCGGCGTGTTCGAGGTGTGACCGGCTAAATAAAGATCGGTAGTGTGCAACAAGTATTCGAGGATCTCGGCAAAGTGGCGTGGAACGGCGTGGGAGCTGGCCTTCGCGCGCGATCCGCCGCACGCCATCCGTGTTTCGCACGCATCTGGTTCCGTTCGAGTCGAATCCTGCTTGAAAACGATTCTCACCAGCCGGTAGACCACTTTGTACGCTGTAGAGATCCCGCACGATAGTTTCCCTTGGCTGTGACGCTTCGAGATCGAGCGGTGGTTGCGCAGGAACTGGTCGAAAGGTGGGATTGATGTTGGGGAATTGCTCCGTGGGGTTAGACCAACATGGCGGTGCCGGCATCTTTCTCCACTGCGAAGATTCTGGGCACCGCGATGGGATTGTTTACGTTCCAATTTGATTGCGGCGCGTTGTTTGAAGCAGTTTAGAAGACTACGTCGTAACTCTTTCATTCGAGTGATCGAACATTTGAGAAACTTCGGTGTTCAGACCGTTGGCCAGTTCCGAACGCAACTGTTAGTTCTTCGGTAGATTCTTTGGTTACCCACGCACCAGCACGATTCGAAGTACCGTAGTTGTCAACTAGACTATGAGTTCCATTCTAGTATCTACCTACTTTACCGTCTACCCCCCTTCCGGCATCTTAATTCGCATAGAGATCTGGTAGGTGTTCGTCAAAGAGGAGACGTACGGTGCACCGACGCACTTTTGCCTCCGCATGTAATCAGCCCGTGCTCCTCGGAGAACCTCGGGTCTCCTCTTTCAAACAGATTAAATCAACCGGAGCAGATTTCTCTCGAGGAAACTCTCGATTCCGATCCTCTCTCGACGGTCCGACCGGCGAGGCGATCCTGAGCCGCGGAAATCGTTTGATTGCAGAGGCCTCGCGCGACCCACTGTAGCTCTTAGAGGATGCACAAGATAACCAAGGGCCTGAAGAAGAAGAAAAAGCAGAAGAAGGGGAAGAAGGGCGCGGAGGAGGACGAGTTCGACCCGGAGGAGCTCGAGCGTTATAGGCGCGAGCGGGCGGAGGCCCAGCAGAAGGCCGAGCAGTCCGGCGAGCAGGCCAGTAACGCCGGTTCCGACGAGTGGAAGAAGTTCGAGGCGTTGACCGCCGGCGTCGACTCGATCCTAAAGAAGACCCAGGGGGATCTCGACCGTATCAAGTCGACCTCGTTCTTCCAGCGGAAACCGCCCCTAGAGGAGGACAAGAAGAAGGAGGCCGAGGAGGCGGGGGAGGGCCAAGAGGAGCAGGGCAAGAAGGGCTCGAAGAAGTGGGTGGGCTTCGACGAGGAGGGCAACCCGATCGAGGAGGAGCCGCCTGACTTCGAGGGGAAGGGGAAGGAGGGGAAGCCTCTGGTGAACGAGGACGGTCTCGTGGATGTGCCGGATGACAACGATGAACAGGAGGACTCTGTGGACGAGGACATCTTCGACACCACTTACGTGGACGTTCTGCAGAACATCGACGTTCAACTAGCTTACATACCGGACAGCCCTACCGAAGAGGACACCGGCGACGATCCGTTCGACACTACCAGCGCGGACAAGGTTGGCTATAACGATTAATGTTTACTGTCGCGATCGAGTTTTATATCGTGTTCAACGTTTAACGTCTTCGATTTGAAATTGAATCTTCGCGTCTTCGGTTATTATTTTTTATTATTATTTACTATTATTATTTTCACCGAAAGGTCCTCAAGACAGTCGACAAGAAAGGCAACAAGCTAGTCAGCCTAGGGAACGCGGTCGAAGTTCTCTCCGGCCGTGTCGACTACGTCAGTTCCTGCAAGATCTCGAAGGGCCGACGTCCCAGGATCCAGCAAGACCTATTGTTAGACGACTTCGGCGAGTCCGAGTTACCAACCGAAACCGTATCCGCCGAGCCCGTCGAGGTCGAGAAGACCTTGTTAGACGATGACAGTGATCTTCCCGACATCCCCGTCGATCTAACCAAACTTCCCCCGGTTCTGCCGCGAGCGACCAGCCCGTTGCCCGCCCAAGAAGCTTCGGCGGAGGCCAAACAATCCAACGAGCCTCTGGACATCTCGGAGTTCGAGGTTCTCAAGGAGAAGAACATCCTAGAGGAGATCCCGGACTTAGACGACGCGGAGTTCGACCTACACGCCCCGCCGGATGCGCCCGTGCGACTCGAAGAGGCGGAGGATCCGTTCGGTGCCAAGGAACCCGAGAGCCTAGTCTTCCAGAACGAGATCGCGGAGGCCAGCTTCGAGGCTGCCACGTTCGTCGACGAGGAGGATCCCTTCGACACCACTTTCGCGGAGAACATCCTACCCGGCAAGACTGAGCTCAAGTTCATCGAGAAGGAGCTAGAGGAGCTTCCGGTGTCCGAGGTGACGATATCCCTGACCGATCCAGCTGGCCTGAACAGGGACTACGAGACAGGACTGTTGACAGAGGAGAATGGCGGGACGGGTCTCCGGGGGAAGAAGGATCTGCTAGGAGGATCCACCACCGACCTCAGCCAGTTAGCTGACCAACCGATCGCTCCGGTCGAAGACATCACCTACGTGGACCCGTTCGACACCTCTGCGGTGCAAGAGATCCCACCTGGCAAGACAGAGTTGAAGTTCCTGGAGAAAGAACTACTTGGAGATCAAGCGAAGCCGACCAGCGAAGAGTTAGACGACGACGACTTCGATCCTAGGAAAGAAGAGCAACCCGTGGTTGCAGCTCAAGTCGCGCCGTCGAAAGTTCCGCCTAGACCTCCTTTACCAACTGCCCCAGTTCAGCCAACGTTCAAAGTCGACTTCAACGAGGAAGAGAAGAAGGAAGAGGCGGTTGCCGGCCAGGACCGCGGAAGAAGGACCTCGAGGCCTGAAGTCCTCGAGTTGGCACCCGCCAAGGCCGTCGCGTTCGAGTTGCCGACTCCATCGAAGAGGCCAGACCTGCTCGCCACTTCCGAAGAAGAGAAGACTCTGCCCTCGAAGCCGCTGACACCGTATTACTCCCAGAAATCCATCGAGGAAGTATTGCCACTCGACGAGGAGGAGGCTGATGTGGACCCCTTCGACACGAGCTTCGTCGCCAAGGTAGCGCCCGGCAAGACCGAGCTGAAGCTGATCGAAACAGAGCTGCTGAAGCAGGAGACGAAGCTGCCGCACAGCATCAGCGACCACGATTTCAATCCGAGAGCCGAGACCGAGCCGACCAGACGGCAGAGCGACTTCTCGGCTGGCTCTGTCAGGCCTAGCGACTTGAAGCTCAAAGAGGTGCAGACTTCTGTGCTGAAGAAGTTCGAAGAGGAGAGGGAGCCGAGGCGGCCGCAGCGACAGGAGAGTCTGCTGGACGCCGAGATCGACGTAGACGCGAAGCCCCTGACACCGAGGATCGAGTCCAAGGCTATCGAAGAGGAAGAGATCTCCTACGAGGACCCTTTCGACACTTCGATCGCTACCAACATCCTACCCGGGAAAGCGGAGCTGAAGATCCTAGAGAGCGAGCTGCAGCAGATCTCCGGAGAAGTTCCTGTCCGACCTCCTACCGTCAATTTAACCGCGATCATCGCCGCCAGCGTGCCGGAGATCGACGACTTCGATCCCAGAGCCGAAGAGAAGAAGGAGTCCCAGGACTTCCTGTGCATCGACGACCAAGATCCAGGAACCAAGGTCCTCACACCCCTGCAGAACGAGAGCGTAGTCTTCGGGGAGGACGTCGATCCGTTCGATACAAGCTTCGCCACCCTAGGACCCGGGAAGACGGAGCTGAAGCTGCTAGAGTCTGAGCTGATGGACAAATAAGAGGATCTTCTTCCAATTGCTTCTGCGCTGATCCTTTCTCTTTAAGACTTTCTCTACCGACACTGCGATTTATTGAAAGTAATAGTACCTTCTACCGTTCACCGACTCGATCGTCCGCCATCATGGATTCCAAAGGAGGCAACCCGTTCCTGATGGACGATTACGGAGCAGAGGAGGACGACAGGCTCGCGGGGCAAGCCTCGAATCCGTTCCTCCAGGATTTCACGGACACCGGGGCGAGCGGGGACGGGGCGAATCCGTTTCTGAACTTCGCCAGCGACCAGTCGTATCAACCGACGATGACCGTCGACTCGACGAACCCGTTCGCCTCGTTCGGCGTCGACACGTCCGCGCCGAGCGCAGGCTTCGAGCCCGCCACCACCGATACACCAGCGACCAATATATTCACTAGCCAATCCACCAACATTTTCGTGACATCCGAATCTCCCGGGGACTTGTTCGACGCGGCGGCCCCGACGCCCGCGTCCGACGAGATCTTCGGGCAACCTGCGACTCACTCGACCCCGTCGCCACCCTCGCAGCCCAAGAATGAAAAGGTCGCGCCGTCGAGGCCGCCTCCGCCGCGGCCGCAACCCCCTGCGCCACCTAAGCACACTAAAGATTTGATTCTCTCTGTGACCGGGGCGATGGACGCGACTTCTAACCATCTGTTGGATCGACTACAGGTTAGCTTATTAAACAACTTATCCTTTTACAGCCGGGGCTCCGGAGCAGTTATTTAGAATTTGTCATTATGAACCGTGGAACTGTGTTTTTAGCCCTTTGCACTCGAGAGGTGAGTCTCACACCATTCGATTCGATTTAACGAAATTACAAAGTGTTACATATCGTATTAAGTTTCGTATAATGCATCGATATGCGAAATATTTCTATAAAATAGCTTTGTTTCTTAATTTACGTATGTTTTCTCATTAAGTCCGTTTCAAATAATGTCTTCTAAGTTTCAAAGGAGAGTGTCGAATGTTTCTAGTGAGAAGCTTCCGAGTGCAAAGGTTAACTTTTCAGCTACGGCAGTACATGTAATATCACTGCAATTCGAAACTGACAGAATTATCCTGTGAGCAATTACCTTAGGTTAGACTATAATGTGCATTATTATCGATGATACTTGAGGTGTTAGAGAATCGTGCCGCAATGGTACACCGTTCGAAAAGATGATATACATGAAAGCCACTATAATGGCGACCAGTGGCTAAAAGGTTAAACATATTATAAGTTTTCTGTGCATACAACTAAAGTCCCATTGGTCGTTACAGGCAACCAGAACTCCAAGCCCGACGCTGATGCACTCGCCATCCCCCACTCCGGAGCACAGCTTCGCAGACCTCCTGGACGTAGACTCGAACGTCCCGGACCTGATGTCTGACGACAGCAAACCCGCTCCGATGGAACTGTTGCAGAACCAGGACATCCTAGACTTGTTCGACGCGCCGAACACCGACACCACGACCACCACGATATTCTCTTCGTCAATGGCAGCAGGGGACGCGAGCAACCTGGTCAGCGGAGTGACAATGTCAACCACCACGGCTCAGGACAACCCGTTCGCCAACATGTCTGACCAAGAGGCACCCGCGATGGCAGCTGAAGATACATTCAGTGACTACCAGGAAACAGCGTCCATCACCAGCGAGAAAAGGCCTTCCGTGGTTTCGACGACGGGCGTGGTAGGCAGTGACATCGACGAGAAGGTCATCGATTTCGCTGCTGAGGCTCCAGCGGCCATCGACGCTCAACCAGCTATCTCCGCTTCGGAACTGTTCTCAACCGCGACCGACCAGCTCGCGACCGCCACAGCTGAGTCGAATTTCTTCTCTGTCACCGACACCACTACCACGGCTCCGTTCGGAGTCACCGACGTCACCAGTTCACCATTTTCGACCTCTGCTCCGCAACCGTCGCCCACGCAGCTCTTGTTCTCCACCGCTGACACCGGCCCACCCTCCTCGAAGCCCTCCGGTCCGTTCGCGTCCGATTTGCTCGGTGATTTCGGGGACACCGGTAAAGACGTCAGCGCTGCACCAGTGACGAGTCCACTTCCGGCCTCCGAGTTCCCTGCCGGCGAGCCGTACAAGGCTGACGAGCAGCTGGACACCTTCGCAGCCGCTACCAAGGCTGTCGAGAACACTGGAGATGCTTTCGACATCTTCGCGTCCAAGTTCGACAAGGCTGCCGAGCCTGATGCCAACGCTGACCCGTTTCTGGATGCTTTCGGCGGAGGGCCGACTGCGATGGACACTTCCAGCGATGGTCAGTTCGCATTCGATGGAATGATATAGATGTTCGTAAACTCTGCTTCCCGTGGGAGTAAATTCGAATCGTGTTTTCGACAGTTTGGGGCGATTCCTCTGTGACCGGCTCGGAAACAGCGGCGACCGGTTTCGGGGAATCTGACGGGTTCGACTCGTTCCTCAGCATGACCGCGCCGCCGCAGGAAGCGAAGCTGAAGAGGGCGGAGTCCGCGGAGTCCGATGAGGGTCCCGACTTCAGTGTTTTCATCAAGTGAGAGTTAATGATGATCTGTATAATTTATTTCATAGGGAAAAGTATGAATATAGAGAAGAAGATTTATATCTAAAGCTACTGAATGCTGGTTGAAATCCTACGTAAAAATCAGCTAAATCTTAGTATGTTGATGATCCTCTTTCCACAGACCCAAAACAGGAGAAGACACCGCGAGCATGGAGGACGGATCAGTCCCCGTATTGGCTCCGCCACCAAAGAGTCCTCAGAACACCGCGTACGCTGACTCCTCGCCTCGGTTCAACCCCTTCGACAAGTCCGGATTCGCTCAGGAAGCCGTTGTCCCGCCGGAGGCCGTTCCGATGCCAGAGATGACTAGGACGGACTCCCAGGTACTTTCGGAATCCTCTTGACAACGTCGAGTCATCCTTCAACCGAAGAATCTCGATTAGAATCAGACAAATCGCTTCGGTGGAATTCGAGACATTCGAATCAACTCGTTTTCAGGAAACTCCACCGACGCCATTGTTCGACGAGGACGTCAGCCAGCCGTTAGAAGACTTCCCGAGGGTGACGTACACCGGCGACGGATGGGAGATGCAGCTGCGCCAGCCGAACAAGAAGAAGATCACCGGTCAGCGGTTCTGGAAGAAGATCTTCGTGAAACTCGTCTACCAGGCCGACAATCCTGTTCTCCAGTTGTTCAACAATAAGGACGACAAAGATCCGTTCCAAGAGCTGCCTCTGCTTCCTTGCTACTCGGTCTCCGACATCGGGGCGCAACAGTTCGATCAATACGGCAAGATCTTCACGGTGAAGCTGCAGTACATCTTCTACAAGGAACGCCCCGGGGTCAGGCCGGGTCAGGTGACCAAGGCTGAGAGACTCACGAACAAGCTCAGCCAGTTCGCTGCGTATGCTATTCAGGGTGACTACCAGGGGGTGAAGGAGTTCGGCAGCGACCTGAAGAAGCTGGGTCTTCCTGTCGAACACGCGCCGCAGGTATAGTTCTTATTTATACAGCAGTTAACCCTTAAAATGCTGTGTGGGGTCCTCCAGGAGACTCCAGTATGTTCATAGCTGAAAACAAAATAACGGTAATGTTTTTAGAACAGACAAATCATCCACAATACTTGATGAGAAAAGAGAAAATACATAAAATATGAAAAATTGCAAAAAATTACAAAATTATTAAGGAAAAAATCATCCATAATATTTGACGATAGAAAAAGAGAAAATACATAAAATATGAAAAATTGCAAAAAATTACAAAATTATTAAAGAAAAATACTTTCTGGGCGCCCTGTAGGACTCCACTCAGCATTTTAGGGGTTAATAGAGATTAGCGAAGACAGTTCGAGACGTTAGGACTCTGTCGCGTCATTGCAAAATTGTGAATTTATATGATCAACTGTCTGTCTATATAAGAAATACCAAGAAGTTCGTGGATCAGTGATTTACAAATGATTGTTTCCTGAATATCATAGATCTCTCAGCTCTTCAAGCTCGGCTCCCAGACGTACGAAGACATGAAGCAATTCTCTTGCGCCATCGAGGAGGCATTGTTTAGATTATCCGCTCACCGAGATCGAGCACTCACTTACAAGATGGAGGAGGTGCAGATAACCGTGGTGGATGAGCTCTACGTCGAGCAGAGTTCCGAGGGCCACGTGGACAAGCAGATTGCGCGCGTTCGACTGTTTTTCTTGGGTTTCCTTACAGGTTAGAATATTCTGTCAGTGTTATCGTTAACCCTAACCGGACCACGATGTGACTTTGAGTCACATTTTAACTTTTTACTTAAATTATTTGATTATTTCATATTGCATCTCCAAAAGTTCTTTCGACTTTTAAAATTTGGGCCCTATGAACAAGAACAGTAACATTTTAATCATTCCTTTTATCCTCAGTCACTGAGAGTCACATCGTGGTATGATTATAGAAACACGTGATACGATTAGGGTTAAATACAAAGGATATTAGAATAAATGACTTCAATCTGGATCATCTACCGCAAACGAATGTCTCAAATGTTCCTCTTGTTTCTTTCACGGAAGATTTTCCTCAGAGTCGATTTGTTGTTACATTAGGCATGCCTGACGTCGAGCTGGGGATAAACGACATGTGGCGACAGGGGAAGGAAGTAGTGGGCCGTCACGACATCATTCCGGTGGTCACGGAAGAGTGGATCCGGCTGGAGAACGTAGAGTTCCACGCATGCGTCCAGCAGGACGAGTACGAAAAGTCGAGGATCATAAAGTACGTTCGTCGAGCCGCTTTCAGGGGACTAAGGCTGTCTAACAATTATTCTCTGACTCGATATATCAGCTCCCGCGGAAAGTTCCATCGTCGTTCTCTCTTTCGTCCGAATCAGTTGCTCGAATTCAGTCGGGAAAAAAAGGATTGCCCGGGCACACGCTATCGAAAGACATGCGAACCTTCCGCGGAGACTAATGTCTACCCGCTGACTGCCGATTAACCATGACTAACCCGTTTGAAGGTTCAAGCCACCCGATGCATGCTATATTGAACTCATGCGATTCCGTGTCAGGCCGCCTAAAAACAGGGAGCTTCCCCTTCAGCTTAAAGCCGTAATGTGCATTACCGGTAACAAGGTAATGTCCAAACCCTAGCTAATGTAGCATGATCCGTAATCACCGGACTGCGGACGTTTGTGTAGATCTGGGCGTAGATTAACCCGTACAGGTCGCGGTTCAACGTCACTTTAGAGGGTTTAGAGTAGAATAGTATTTAGAATAGATTATTTTCGTGGATATCGGGAAGAAATTAGTATAGAGATTAATATTGTAATCAATATAGTACAACTTAATTCTTTCCATCATGATCAGTTGTACTGGAACCAGACGAAATTGTAAATTAGTGAAACTAGAGGAAATTAGAAATACTATGAAATTATGTGGAACAGAAAGTGCAACGAGATTATATAAAATTCATGCGATTGAACTATATGAAACTGAGAATACAACGGAATTATACGAAACGCACAAAGCTCCGCAATCTACTAATCACCCTGTGACGTGTTACCCAAAACCGCCGCCATACATCAGTACTGTCGTGTTTGTCCGTTGTGAGCCTGATTAGCGATCGCCCACGCATGCTCGGATTGACACCAACCTTTCGCGTTATCAGGTGGAGCTGAGGGCCGACATCCTCGTGCCAGGATTCGCCTCGAGGAAACTGGGCCAAGTGCCCTGCGAGGACGTGATGGTCCGGTTCCCGATCCCGGAGTGCTGGATCTACCTGTTCAGGGTCGAGAAACACTTCAGGTACGGGTCGGTGAAGTCTGCCCATCGGAGAACCGGCAAGATCAAAGGCATAGAGAGATTCCTCGGCGCGGTGGACACTTTGGAGCCGCAGCTGATGGAAGTTACCTCGGGACAGGCGAAATACGAGCATCAACATCGCGCCATCGTGTGGAGGATGCCTAGGTTACCGAAGGAGGGTCAAGGTGATTTCCTGTTACCTTCGAAATTCGGATAATACGTAGTTGTTGTATAGGTTGATAAGTATGAAACGTTTCGGGTGGAATACTTTAAAAATGTTTAGGATTGTAGTGATTTGGTAATATTAAAATTATGGAAGTATTGAAAGTATTTATATTGAAACATTACAAATATTTAATAATATAGTGATTTGGTAATATTAAAAATATTGACGTATTGAAAGTATTTATACTGAAACATTAAAAATATTTAGTAATATAGTGATTTAATAATATTAAAAATATTGAAGTATTGAAAGTATTTATACTGAAAAATTAAAAATATTGAATAATATAGTGATTTAGTAATATTAAAAGTATTAATGTTTCAGTGTACATATTTTAAATGTTTTGATATAAATATTCTGAATATTTTATATGAAACAGTCGCTAGGAAAAATGTTGATTCCTTAATTTCTGTTGCATTCAAGAAATTGTATGGATTGACAAATTTTTTTAGGGGCTTACACGACGCATCAACTGGTCTGTCGTATGGCTCTGACTTCGTACGATCAGATACCTGAAAATCTCGCGGAATACTGCTACGTGGAGTTCACGATGCCGGCGACCCAGGTGTCCCATACGACAGCGAGAAGCGTCAGCCTTCAGAACACCGACAGCGATGACCCGCCGGAGAAATACGTTAGGAACCTGTCGCGGCATGAGTATAGGTACGTAGGAAATAAATGTTGCACGGAGATCTTGATAATTACTGATAGAACTCGGACCTTCATTCATTTTCTTCCTAGCAGGTGTTGGATTAAATAAGAGCCTCCTGAATTTCATTCAATATTTTATTGCACCAAGCTTCAGGCAGTTCTGAAGATTTCGAGAACGAAAAGTTTATCTGTGAAATTTCGAACCTATCGACTAATCAACTTGAAAATTATCATAGTTAATCTCTAAGGTGCTACGGAAAATCCTAATCATGAAATCTAGATACTTCACGAATTCTCTTCATCACTGTTCAACCTTTCCATTCCTAAATAGAAGAAAAAACCCAATTCCGCAATCAATCAATCTATTTTCTTCTCCGCAATTTCGCCACAGCGACTAAACAAAACATTTTTACCATTTAGAGTTAGTATCGAGCGAAACTGTTAATTGCCTACTAAATCCAACTAAACAAAACATATTCACCTTCTCGAGCTGGTGTCGAGCATAAATATTAATTGCAATTTACTAAATCCAATTCCATGATCAAACTATTAATTTTCTTTTTCACGATTCCACAACTAAACAAAACAAATTCACCTTTTCAAGTCGGCATCGAGCAAACCTGTTAATTGCAATTTACTAAATCCACTTCCTCAATAAATCAATCCATTTTCTTCTTCACGATTCCTCAACAACTAACAAAACATATTTACCTTTTCGAGCTGGTGTCGAGTAAAAATATTAATTGCAATCTGCTAAATCCAATTCTATGATCAATCTATCCATTTTCTTCTTCACGATTCCACAACTAAACAAAACAAATTCACCTTTTCAAATCCACATCGAGCAAACCTGTTAATTGCAATCTACTAAGTCCACTTCCTCAATCAACCCATTTTCTTCTTTACGATTCCTCATCGACTAAATCAACATATTCACCTTTTAGAGTCGGCATCGAGCATACGCAGGGCGAAGGTCCAGGCGCGTACGTGTCAGCGACGATCGGGAAGAAGATCCCTGAATCAACGCCGGAGGTACACAGCGAGGTGTCGGACTCGGCGCCAGCCGATTCCGATTTCGATTCGGACTCCGAGTAAATCCAACCGAATTTCCGCGGAAACCTCTGACAAGTCGCAATCGAACTAATCACTCGTCGACGATAGGTATTCAGATGGGACGAATATATAGGAAACGATGCCTGTGACAAGACGCGCGGCGAGCGGTTTCACGGCGGCGAGTTTGAAACGCTGACCGCATCCATTCAAGAAGACACACCCCGACGAACGAAACTATCGAGAAATCCTCCGTGATGCGACTGGCCAACCAGTCGTCATCGAACGCACATCAGTATTATCTCGGTCGCTGCGTTTCCTCGCTCGTTTCGATCGACGCACGCCGCGAGACGCGCCCTCGCCGCGAGTTTCGCGTTAAGCCGCGTCCCCGCGAGCGCCGAACGACTCCGAATGGAACATTCTTGGTCTGGCTTGGGTCTGTTGTATAATAACGGTTATAACGTTTATCGAACGACAATATTACACCTGCTCAAACAAGAAAACTCACGGCGTCGCATGGAAACCGTAACATCCGGGGTTACGCGTTAAATGAAACTGCACCGGTTTTCGTGTATAGATTTAGCGTATAAAAGTTGCAACTGTGATTAGCGACAGCCCCATTTGTTCGGTACGTATTTACTTGGCGTATAGAGTGTGCCCACAACGAAATATCTAGCTTGATTCGCGTGTTACTTTCGATCGTCCCGATGTTGCCGTTTCCGCGCGGTGGCCCGTGTTTATAACTATTAATAATGAATGGGCGAATTAATTATACAATAATACGATTATCGTGTACAGCGGTGTGGACTAAAGATAACGTTACAAGCTCGAGGAAGAACGGCCGTCGTTCGTTGGAGGAACGACGGCTCCCCGTGTTCCGCGCCAGCGGGTACGCGGCTTGGCCCAAAATAGCAGTTAACGAAATGTACGTACGAAACAAGTAATTTGTAAGGGAGGACAATACTGATTTTACGTTCGGTTTAGCTTGCTAAGTAGTAAAACACGGACGCGCGGCGAAAGGCTTTGCCACGCTGCCCGTCGAAGGGCGAGATCGGACGCTGCGGAAGCGTGGATTTAACGTAGATCGTTGTTGACTAGTCGGTCGAAGATGTTTCTTTATATTTTTCTCGGTTCCTTTCTTGTCCGCGGAATAGAACACGGAACACGCGTTGCTCCCGAAACGCTCCTCGGATGGTAACGGGAAACCCCGTCGCGGCGGTACACGTCGATCAGAGGACAATAGTTGTTAAATTAAGGGAAATCGTTGCAATTACGGAGGATCGTGCGCGCATATCTTATCGTTTGAGCTTGCAGAGGAAGTATATCGAATGTTATTCAGTCGTAGAGCGTAGTTTATCGAGAATAACCGTCGGTTAATAGGCAAATAAGAGAATAATTATAACGAGTGAGATGGGTGATGATCGTTTCGCCTGTGTGCGTGCGTGTGCGAATGTAACCGTAAGGTAACGAGAAAAAGAAAGTGCGTTTGCGTTTGAGAGCGAGAGAGAGAGAGAGAGAGAGAGAGAGAGGATCAGTGTACTTACTAAGACTGTTCGGAATGAAAGGTACGCCTGCGATTTCTCTAGATCTTATAACATTATTTCGTACCGCGTTAGGTCGCGAGAACAGGTTTGAACGCTTCGCGAATTAATCTGTAATTTACAGCTGTAAGTTTCCGTTTCCGAGTTTCATTCGTCGATTAGTTAATTCGCGTGAAATCGACCGACGCTGATTTGGTCTTTTTAGCGTCGAGAATGATTCCACGCGAGAGCTGCGCGAGGATTAAGGCTGCGGTTACATTTGGTGCGTGCTAGTTCAGTAGAATGGACGTTCCGACGAACTCGTATCTGAAAATCGTTGTGTATACACTTTTAGGAATTCGAGTACTTCGTTTTGACTGACTTCTTGACTCATCGACTCATCGACAATTGACGTATTGACTGAATTTGATCGAGTTCATCGAGATTTTTGGAGGACAAACGCCTGGAAGTTGCTACGTATATGATTTCTAGGAATTTGTGTAGATATTTGATTGATTTCGTGTATCGACTCAGTAGTATTGAGTTTATCGAACGGGTAACTCGTCTGAATTCACATCCAGTGTAATCGCAGTTTAATAGAATTCTTTAGGATAAGGTCGGTCGGCGACTCGAGGGTCGCCGCCATTAATTTATAACTGGAAGAACGAAGGGGTAGACACGTAAGTTTCCTTTCGAAGATTTTCAAGATTTTTGGTTTAACGTTTTTTCTCATCCTGCAAAGGAGATTGGAAGAGTCACTCTAGTCCTTAGCTTGTAAGAATTAAACCGCGCGACCCGTCGGACGCCCACGAGCTCCGGTCACGCGTCCCACTACGGATATGGGTGTAATTATAGATCCAACGACGTTTAGAGATGTCGGCCGATATGCCAACTGACTTTAGCGGTAATCTAGGGTTAATCAAGCGATCGTGTCGGTTTATAGATTGTCGCTCTGATCCGTGTCAGCGCGAGACGATGCATCGAATCGTGGTTATTACATAGGTAATAGCGTCTTCCCAGTGGCTTCGTCAGCGGAACAAGATGGCGTCCGCTGGTCACTCGTTTCGCATACTTTGCCTTTTGAGTTTCTGTTTGAAAAAAGTACATTCAACTGGTCGAAAGTCGTGTAACGAAATTATAATTGCGGAAGCCTGTTCGATCAGACGATCATTAAGTCTATCATAAATATTAATTTCACTGTTATTTTTATCGCATAATGCTTTCTTACAACAATTTCTACGTACACGCTTGAAATTAAAGTACTAAGGATACAATTAGGAAATGAATGAAGTATTGGAATAGCCTGCTTAAGAGAAACTACAAATTCAAAGTAAACGAGGATTTCAAGTGATTAACGATTGAACGCCGTAGCCGTCGACGAAGTCGCTGCGAAGCAATTGTAGGGGAAAAAATTGGGTTCCGTTCTTTGAGAGGCAGCGCCAAAGCTTTTCCGTCCGCGTCATCGTGACGGTCTGTTTGCGTTCGATACATTAAACGGATCTCGAGGGAGGCATCTCCGACTCGAGATAAAACGTTTCCAGCTCGTGATCTCACCTAAGCGTAATATCGCACCGTCGTGCGATGGAACCGGAACGGCGTCTGTGGAACTTAAAGGGGAAGTGAAATCCGATTAAAACACACGATGCGTATATAGATAGATATCTTAGGAATGGTATTTAAATTAGCAATTTATGTATGATATACCGGCATGCCTACCGATCGTGTTTCTCCGATGCAACGTGTGGGTTAAGTGCGTGCGTGGGTGCGTGTTAGCTGCATGCGTGACTGAAACGAATTGCGCCTGAAAGAGAACGAGAGAGCGAGAGAAAGAGAGAACACAAAGATCTGTTGCCCGCGCGAGGAGGTCGTAATTCAAGATTGATTTTCTTCGGATCACCAGATTTATTTTGCTGGAATGTTGAACGAGAATAGTCGAACGACATTCAGAAGCCGATCATAATTTACTGGCCGCTTAATCGCGTAATTTCTCGCGATGTGAAGTATTGATCTATGAACTACGTTACAACGATCGAGTCCCGAACTATAATTACGACCGATACGGATTAAGGACTCCGTTCGAGATCATTCTGCATTCATAATCAATGGATAAGCCTTTCACAAGATAACTTAACCGAGTCCACTTTTCGCGAACGCCTCGAATTCAGTATCTCCGATGTATTCGTATTTGCATCTTTCAGTGCCAAGGCTAATTGCAATGATTCATTGGTGTGAATCTTTATCGTTAAGTCCACGGTAATAATGTTTGTTATCGGATAGAAATTCGAACGTACAAATTAATTTCGGCGCAAGCAGCAGTAAGCGTAAATTTGCAATTGATATTTACTAGTAACTGCCTAAACACTCGCAGACATTTCGCAAAAATAGTCTACGATGCGTTTTCTTTTAGACTTGTACGTTCCATTGAGGGCGCCATTTTGTCGGAAAGTGGACTCACAAGGTAATAAGCAAAGAATAGGTAATAAGATTAATAATTTCAAGCACGGAGAGGCTTAAAATATCAACAACAAAAAATCGATCTCCGAGGAAGATCCAAACAGAAGAGGCTATTGTTAACAGCCTAAAACTATTTAACGCTTTACCGCGATCGGAAATTCGCTGTTGCTGTCGCTGGTGCTTAATCGTGTCGGTAAGGTAGATCTCGCTGAACCATTACGACCTCCATTTGTTGCCGCTCCTGAAAACATCGCCCCGCATCTCCAGGAAAAAGAAATTACCCGTTCCCACGCGCATAAAGTATTAAACTGCGTAGGTTAATAGATATAAACCTGTTATTTGGAGTCACTGTAAACGATTAATTGTAAAAGAGCTAGTAGTGTCGTTGTTGTTCTTATCATTAACGGTAAACCAAAACCAAAAAAAAAAAGAAATGGAAGAAAAAT